TATGTTTAGTACAGCCCAGTCCTACCCAATATCAGACTTCACAGCCATTAAAAGGGCATCTAAAACACACAGGGTGCATACCTCTGCCTGCCTCCCCCACATCGGGGCAGTCACTGTTCTCAGTATAGCTGGCAAGGGCTCTGTGGGTGTCCAACTAGAGAGCCTCAGTTAGGCAGGCCGCACTTCATCACTCAGCAGCACTGTGTAATAACAATTACTTGTTAGCAGGGTTGGATAAGGTATAGATTAAATAAAGGCACATTGTCACTGGTTACAATTTCTAAATAAATCCTCCAAACTGATTTGGGCCTGACACATCGAAGCTGCTGTTATTTCTGAACACGAACATATGGAAAGGACAAGCCAAGACAGAATGATGAAATTCTTAAACGCTTTTGCTTAAAATTCTTTTTGTCTTGAATGTGTATATGGACACACACACACCCCACATCCGCATCCACTTGCATACATAAACTGTTCCCTAGGTGCACTTTTACCATTTTATTCAATCTAACTTCGGTAGTTTCTACTGTGGTCCTTCTCTAGACCAATTCTGTAAATATTTAGAGAAATAAGAGGGTCTTTTATGTGATGTAGTAGTGGCTTTTGCTGGCTTTTAAAGCATTATCTTTTATAATTCCCTAAGTGTTAGAAGTAGGAAAACCATCTTTCTTTTAAATTTAGCAAATAGCATTTATGTGCATATGTGCTTATGCCATCTACACACTTACACTATAATAGAAATACAGTGGAAAAGCAAACTCTAAGCTTTTAACACTGTCAGGCATGAGTTTTTTCCCTCTTATCTTCTGCTAAAGAGACAGTTAGAAGAATGAGAGGCTTCTCTGGCTCTGCATTTATAAGCCTCACTAGAAAAAAATGTCAATTCTTTTTTAGACTCACAATCACATGATAATAAATGTGAATCTAAGCAATCACTCAAGTGCTTTCTAAGCAATGGTTTCATCTATAGTCACATACGCATCCTTCTTTTATTTAGTAAATGCCAATAAAAACTAATAAGAAAGCAGTTCCATTTGCATGTTTCACATTTTTACTCAATATGGAGTCCAGTGGTTGAATGGTCTCATCTGGGAGCCAAGAGAGGCAAACAACATTGATTTCCTGTGTTCCACAGTGAATGTTTGTAGATTTAGAGAGCAGATGTTTCTCAATGTGGGATAAAACTGGAAAGGCTTTGCTAGTACAGTGATGTGGGCATGCTGGTGGAGGAACCGAATGCAGCCTTTGGGAAGTTGAGGCCTCTCCCCTCCTTGAATGATGCTGTTCTAAGATGTTCTTCATGTGTAGGTGTTATACTTACCATGGAACAAAATGTCAAACCGTCACATTCTTAGGACATAAACAATTAGGACAGGTTCTATGTTTGTAAAAAGATTTGATCATCAAGTTTAAGTAATCAGGGCACATGGGAGAAAGATAATGCAGATATGTGGGTTCTGGAGTCAGACAACCTGGTTTCAAATCCAAGCTGCACTTGCTGAGTGATCTTAGGCCAGTAACTTAACCTCTCTGAGCCTCAGATTCTTCATGGATTAAACATGAAAAATAGTAGCTAACCATAGTTTTTTTCTGACTAATAAGTGAATGAATGCAAAATAATTCAGAAATAATAAGCATTAAATAAATGCTATTTTATAATAAGTGTGATTTTTATTAGTATGTATGAAGAAAGGATTTTCACCACTAAGATATCAAAAGAAGTGGACATACTGTGGAATTCTTTCACTTTAAAAGATGAATTCCAGTAGGAAATGAGGCCATATCTGACAACCAGATCCCATAGGACAATCAATGATCCAGCCGAAGACATGTGGACCTCAGGCTTCATCTGGGGAAAATGTTCCAAGGTGCCAAAAATTATTTTGTGTTTTTCTTCAAATCATTATAATCCCCTCCACCCTTCCCTCCTTTAGCACTCTCTCTTACTCTATGGTCTGTGAATGTATTTCTTTTCTGAGTTTGGCTCTTATTTTAGAACTAGTTGTGAATTCTTCATTCTCTCACATAGACATATGACAGTGGGGGAGGAGGGCATGTGCATTTCCTAAATTTTAGCAAGAAATCTGTCCTGCCATCTCTGTAGAGTGGAAAATTCAGCAAGGAAATCTGGTAGTTTCATTCCCCTATCAAATCCCATTCAACAGCTAACGTGAGGCACAGTGTACGTTCATCAGATGTTTTGATCCTAAGTAACAGTGAAGCCTAAAGAAGTCTGGGCTGGGGGTGTAGGTTTTGTATATACTAGAGAGTGTCACTGGGGTGACTTTTGAAGTGATCTCTGTCGGGGTTCTACCCATATCTACTGCATCTTTTACAGACTGACTGCCTTGGGCTGTTGGAACCCACTTTGCCTGTAAGCAGGGAGGCTGAAAATACCTGGGAATTCACATCTTTCTGGAGGCATCCTTAACCAATGACTGCTGGGTAAATGGGTAGAAATACCCAGCTCCCTTGCCCCTTTGGCTGAGGTGATTCCAAGGCATGTATTTTGCAGTTTCCAGAGTTTCTCTCTGAGGTCCTACCTCAGTCACCCCCCTAGGGAGCTGACTTAATAAAACCCTTTCTCGGGCCACCCTCCCTTCCCTGCCTCACTTCTTCCCTCCCTCCCTGGCTCCATCTGCCTCCTGATAAGCCACTTGGTTCTTGGCTCTTGGTCTCTTAGGGGTTTCTAACCTAAAATGCACACTATAAAAGCAGAAGGGAATCTGCTAAGCCTAGATTAGGTTTTGCCAAAACCTCTCTGGGCCCAAATTGGCAGGGACACTTTTGAAGACCACTCTTTCCCATGGATTTAGAATTCTACACCAGAGTCCAACTCATCATGGCCACAGACCTGTCAAGGTTTACACTGTTGGGAAAGTAGGCAAGGACCACAGGCACCATCTACCCACTCAGCCTTTCTTCTGCAGGAGAACCAATTTATGTTGGAGGAGGAAGATTTTAGTATCTGACCAGGCTTCTAGCACCCAGCATGCTGGGACAATGCTGGTTTCTAAGCATGAGTAGGCCTCAATAAATGATCCTATCCACTTGATCCACTCTCTTTATAGACCTATTAGACAAGTGCTTTACTGTTTATCCAGTACCAAGCTAGCTAAGCCAGTCACCATACCCACCAGCATGTCAAAGAAAATACCTATTTCCTGTAAGGTTTTCTAGCTAGTGGGGAAAAAAGATTGGTTCACATGGCCTCTTATTGCAAACCTGCTCATCCTTTTGCAGTCTGAGAGCAAGACTGTAGATTTATCCAGGTGGATCTCTCAAAAGCATCTCCTTTACTGTATTCTCCATTTCAGACTCTTATCCCTATCTTCTTTCTTGTTTTTCTTTATCACCTCTGTGATGCCTTATTACTCCGCACACCAGCTGAAGCCATGTGGAATCTGTATCACAGTATATTAACATTCCAAAATACATGCAATCTCTGAGCAGACAATAAATTTGATTTTGCACAAGTGGCGTCCTTTATTCTTCACTCATAAGGCAATCTCTTAAGTGTATCTTTTTTTTTGAAACACAACACAAATAGTCTGGTGAAGTAAAAATGGGTTGTGTGATAGGTTTTATGCTTAGCAAAAAGATCTTGGACAAAGCAGCCATGCTGATGTTCTTATTTACAAAGGTTGCCATCTGGGAAATTAGTGTCTGCTGTTGCTCAGTAATTAGGAAAATTTAGGACCCCTAGCGCTCCAACATCCTGCATTCAAGGTTGTATGTCATCAGTGTTTTCATGAGAATTTGCTGGATTTCTGTCATTAATAACAGGCATAAACTCAGCAAGCAGTAGAATATGCATTACATATAATCAATTTGCTATTTGTATTCATTATGTATGTCCTCCATTTTGAGTCATGAAAAATTGAAAGGCCGTTACAAATAGAAGGAGCATCATGGATTACAAATGATGTAACAAGAGCATAAGCGCTATTAATTGGTCAATTGTGCTTGTCACTACATTTAAAGTGATTAAGGCAGAAAGATTAGAAGGAACAGGAATGTGATAGAGAAATAGAAGCCCAGGAACACTAGGGTTCTCCCAAGTCCCTCACACACAGATAAATTCAGCAAACTCCAGTGGCATTTACCTAAACAAATTTATTCAACAAGTGCTCTTTGAACACACGCTGTGTGCCAGGGATTGTGCTGTATGGTGTGAATACAGCAGAAAGCAAAATAAATGATGACTTTGACCTTGGCAGCTTACATTCAACAGAGAAGGGGGAGGTATGAAATGTAATACATGAGATAACAGATACAGATATAAGTTAACATCTGGTAGTGGGAAGATCCACAGAGACCACAAGAACAAGAGGAGGCTTACAGAGAGTGATGTGTGGTGAAAGGCAGGCCTCTTTGGGAAGAGACATTTGCAGAGGTTGAAATGCAAGGAGAAGACAAGCCATGTGGTATCTGGAGAAGAGTGTTTCATTCATATGAATTGGCCCAACACTCCAACTCCTATTCTAACACCCAAGAAGGAAAAAAAGTTCTTGTAGTTATTTCTTTTGGCTTGACCCAATGGAACTGCTTCCCCAGAGCCAGAAAATTCACTCACCAATCTCCCCACTTCAGCCATTTCTGCTAAAGTGAACACTGATGGTACCATTTGCTTTGTGAATGGCATGCAACCAGACTCATCATGGCACGCACATGAGGCCCCACATGATCAGGACCCTGCCTCGCTGTCATACCACTCTCCCCGAGCTCTGTAAGTTCTAGTCTTGGTGTTTCTATTGCTCAGACTGCCAGTGCCTTCCTGCCTCTGGACCTAGGCATTTGCTCTCTTTCTGCCTACCACAGTCAGCCCTCAGAAACTCACACTTCAGTTCCCAAGTCACCTCCTCAGAGAAGCCCTCCCTGGCCACCAGGCCAAAGTCACCCTGGTCTTTGGCTATTAGGTCCTCCTGCTTTTTCATTACAGTGCTTGCTGTTACTTGAATTGCATGCAAGTAATTGCTTGCTTGTTTCTTGTCTAGCTCGCACATCTGAGTGACATGAGGTCAGACAAGTCACCTGCATTCACTGCTGTACCCCAGTGCCTAGAACTGTGCCTGACATAAAGAAAGGTTTCAAAGACCCAAGGCCAATGAAGAAATGAGTCACTCAGGCTGTCAGCCAATCAGCTAACCAACCAAAATACAGCAAAATTGACAGGTTAGTTTCTGCTTTTGTATGTAAGTAGCTCTTTTAAATTTTTGCCTGAAAACCACATGGAAGATATGAGTGTGTATTTTGAGCAATATTCAGTACAGTTTGGGGCAAATTAAAGTAATTAGGTAACATTGATATTTGTGCTATTTTGCTTCATGTGTCTAGGACCTATTGCTATGCATTTTTAAATAACAATATTTATTTTCAGTGTATTGACTCTTTTTTATGGGCTACATGCTATGTTATTGTCTTTGAGAATTTGCAAGTAATGGAATATGGATGATGAACCATGACAAATTAGAATTATAGTAATCCTGCTTGTTTAGGATTGATGATCTAAGACTCCTTGCTTAATAGATAGCATCCGGGAAATATATCAGAAGAGAAATACACATTGTGGTGTGATGGTACCAGGATTCCAAGTTCATTCCAAGAAATGATTCATAGCCGACTTGTGAGTATCTACCATGGACCAGACTCCATGGCAGGTGCTGGAGTTCCAGGTGGAGGAGGCAGTGCTGCTCCCAGGCTCCAGGAAGACCTGACAGTCAACGACAGTAGTTCTGAAACCCATCTGCACACTACAATCACCTAGGGGCCCACTGTATATATCTAAACCTGGGCCTCCTCCCAAGCCAACCGAATCAAAATCTCTGGGCCAGGGGCTTACACATCCATATTTTTAAAGCTGTTCATGAGCAACCAGGGCTGAAACCCACTGGTCTAGTAGAAGGAGGGATGTATAAAGAGCGAACCACAAACAATGAAACAGGGCTATGATAACAGCCAGTGGGTGTGCATGAGAAATGGCAGTATTTCTCTCCAGTGTGTTAACTACAGCTCAGAAAAAAAAATGTTTTTTAGATCAGAAGGCTAGATGACCTGGTGTTCTGCAGGAGATAAATGTTGCATCTATTTATCACCTCCCTACCTCTTAAAAGAAAAACTGATAAGAAGTGCCAAATACCATCATTAAATGATTATTTTTCCTACATGGGACCAAACAAATGACTTTATTTTTCCATATAAGCCTGGCATTGGATACTTAGTCAAAGAATTTTAATTAAAACATAGTGTCTGTCCTAACTGGCAGACATGAGAGAAAGGGAAACAGGAGAATCCACAGGGTAACCATCAAAGGGAAGGAATTACCATGTCCTCTACAGTTATTTAAAGGGTCAGAATTTCTTAGGTGTGATGGTGAAGGTTATCTGAAACTCTCTCCTTCAGGCTCTCTGTGCCTTTGATAGTGGGTGTTGAGGTGTTTAGACTGAAAAAAAGCAAATCATTCCGGGTAATTAATTGAGGTTTATGTTATTCAATTGAAGATCAAACTTTGCTTTTTTTCCCCTTGAATCAGGTGAAAAGAACAGGAAAGTGAGAATGCTTTTATAAAAGGACTAAATTGTTCAGAGTGGCACTTCTGAGTGCCTTGGTAAAATATTCCTGTCTCTTGTCTAGTGATGAACTGTGATTTTTTTAAAAAGCAGTGTCTGCAATCCAATAGGCACTTTCCAAGAGAAACTAGCATGTTCTAAGAAAGTCTGCAAGCAAGTGTCTAATTCTCACACTTCGGCTTCCCTTACTCTAGCACACTATTTGTTCCTTGCCAGGAAGTCAGAAGTTTCCATCTACAGCATAAATTCCGATGAATGCCTTTGACGCTAGGAAGAGAGGCCACTGGCATCTCCAGGTATCTGTCCTGCCAATTTTGTACCCTTGGATTTTACAGTTACCAACAGAGGATGATCTTTAGAAAGGCTCACCATTTCAGAGAAACCAATTACTTGAATATTTAAAGAAAGTAATATTTTACAAAATAAAGGGGTGACCCGAGAAAATAAGAGGAAAGGTATGAGGATCCAGCAGCCTCTCATCAGGAAACAAAGGTGACCAGCAAGACCAGGCCTCAAGAAGGCCAGCACCACACAGGTGGCTCCCGAAAGACACTCCTTCCTGGGAAGCAGCAGTTCTCAGCCCCGGCTGCACACTGGGGTCACCTGGGATGTTTGGAAAATACTGACGTCTGCGCCGCTTGTCCAGATTCCTGGGGGGTAGGGAGGGCTGGGCATAGCTGCATTTTGTAGGAGTTCCCAAGGGAGTCTAATGTTCAGCCAGGATTAGGAACCACGGGTGTAGTCCCACATTAGTGACCGAAATGGGTAATCAAGAAAGTAACCCTGGTGGCACACTTCACCGAACTTGAGGTCTTGGCATGTCTGGGGGTCAGCAAAGGGCAAGGATTCACTGTGAAGGGAAAAGCTTTAGTGGGAAAATAAGTCTGTACTAGGGCAAAGGTCCCTTTCCTCTGTTTTTCTAGCTGCTTCTTGCCCTGAAGAAACCACACTGAGCAGAACAGACATCCATTTTATATCAACGCCTGGCGTTCATGTCCTTCCTCAAGTTAATAAAATTATGGTGAAAAAAGTCCCTTGCCGATGAAGTAAACACTTGAGAAAGAAGCAGAGGACCGGCGGTAGTGGCGCTGGTGAGCTCTGCTTTAAAGGAGGGCAGGCGGGAGGGAGGTTTATGCGGGGCCCACCGGCAGCTGGCCAGCGTGCTGCTCCCAGGACAGATGAGAGAGGGGCGGTGCAGGACAGGGAAGAGGAAGCCAAACGGGTGCAGCTGAGGTGAAATCCCTGACGCAGCCTGGTCCCACGGGGGTTTGGGCATAAATCACAGCCCGGAATTTGTCCAGCCTTTCGACGGAGGAGGGCAAGGGGTGTGTACTCCCACTTGGGTTAGGCACTGCCTATAGGTCACTCAAGGCACTTCAGGCTCCCTAGTTGGATTTGGCTCCAGTTCCTCGGCAAGGAGCGCCCCTTGAAGGTCACAGGTGGAAGCTGGTAGCAGCGTAGCATACAGAAGCTGGGAGGTGGGTGCTCAAACTGATAAGGGGACCCAGCGTGTCTGGGCAGGGCACTGACAGTATTTCCTACCCAGGCCAAGGCATTTCTGCTCATTCTGTTAGCTTAACATCCTGCATTTCTATTGACAAGTCATACAGCCTATTTCAACATTTCCTCTTCTGATTCAATAGATTCCCTCTCAAAACCTTTCTCTTCCTTACTGCCCATTTCTTGTGTTCATTGTTTTTTGTTTCTTGTGACCATCAGGAAGTCTGGAGGAGGGTGTGATGAAGGGAAATGAGATGAGGAGGCCACTTTCATCTGTATGCCAGTTAAATGCTGGTGACAGCATGAGACAAGATCCCCAACTGAGGGGGCCCTCATAATGGGAGACTTGTCCTCAGAAGAAGTCTGGCAGCAGGTGGTCCAGGTTTGACTCAGTTGCTCACCAATGTCAGGACTCTTAGTAAGGGTGTGATAATGTGATTTATAATAAGAAATACGCAGTGGGTCTTTGTCCCCTGTCCTGGGCAGAGCTCCCAACACCCTTGAAATCTCCTAAGTGAAGGTGACTTTTGGATCCCACCTAAAGATGGGGACTTGTCTCCAGGAGAACTAGCCATGTGATCAGAGACTAAAGTCCAAGCCCCCCGCCCCCAGAGAAGGGACAAGGGCGAGGGGTTGAGTTCAACTGCCAATAGCCAATAACTTAATCAATCAGGTCTGTATAATGAAGCCTCCACAAAACCCCAAGAGGATGGGGTTCAGAGAGCTTCTAGGATGGTGAACACGTGGAGATTGAGGAGCCTGGCCCACTAGGAGAGAGCATGGAAGCTCCTTGCCCTTTGTTCTTACCTTGCCCTTTGCAGCTCTTCAGCTGGCTGTTCCTTTTACGATAAACCAGTAATCTGATAAGTAAAATGTTCCTGAGTTCTGTGAGCCACTCTAATAAAGTAATGTCTAGTAAATTGATAGAACCCAAGTAGGGAGTCACTGGAACCTCCAATCTCTGGCGTTGCTCAGAAGCACAGGTGACGACCTGGACTTTCGGTGGGTGTGGGGGAGGGCAGTGCGTAGGACTGAGCCTTACCGCGTGGGACCTGCTGCCGTCTCCAGGGACGTAGTGTGAGAATTGAGAATGGTAGGACGCCCAGCTGGTGTACGGAATTACGTGTTAATGTAAGAAACCCAACACTGGACTTGGGTGCGGAATTACAGAAGGCTTCTCTGCTGTCCCCTTGGTGTTCCCTCCACGGCAGCATGGCCGCACCAGTCCCTTTCTCATGTCTTCAGACAATAATTTCCAAATCAGGGAGGGAGGGACTGCTTTCCCTTCACACACTGTTCTCCAGCCAAAAAGGAAAGTATTTTCCAGATCCAGGCACAGACTCCACTTTACAGGTGAAGGGTGGGCCAGGATGGCCTCGCTTTCCTATTGCTTAGCTTTAAGGAAGATGGGAAAATTAATATCTCGCTCTTTAGCTTCTTTCTGCTGGTTATTCTTGGCCACCCCTTCAGGCCTAACCTCTGCCCTTCTCTGCCCTGCTTCTGCTCATACTCCTGCAGGCTGACTTCTGTGGGTTTCATCACTGCGCTTTAACTTTTGGCTTCTGATTGGGTTCAGCCCATTGGAGGCGCAGGAGGAGATGGGAGGGAGCCGGAGAGAAGTCGGGCCATTTCTTCCTCTGCTTCATTCCTGCCAGGCCACAGTTTATCAGTGACTGCAGCGCCCCTCTGAAGGCCAAGGTCCGGAAGATACTGCTTTTTGTTACCTCTGAGGTGTTTTACCTTCCCTACTTAGGTCTACAGTATACCTGTAATTTTTTCTCCCTGCTGCTTTTTATTTTGAAAGTTTTCAAACCACTGAAAAGTTTAAAACAATATAATAAACATTTATATCCTTCAGCTAGAATCCCAAGTGGTTAATATTTTGTCGCATTTGCTTTATGTTTCTCAATATATGTATCTATAGATAGATGATGATGATGATAGATAGATAGATAGATAGATAGATAGATAGATAGATAGATGATTGATAGATAGATAGATAGATGATAGATAGATAGATGATAGATAGATAGATATAGATGATAGATAGATAGATAGATAGATAGATAGATAGATAGATAGATAGATAGATAGATAGATAGATGATAGATAGATAGATAGATAGATAGAGATAGATAGGTAGATAGATAGATAGGTAGGTAGATAGATAGATGATAGAGACAGACAGGGAGATAAATAGACATATAATTCATGGAGCTGTACAATTTTCACCTTGCTGAGCCATTTGAATATTTCAGTTGTCTTGACATTTCAATCATAAACACTTCAGTATCTCTTAAGTATAAAAGAATTCTCCTACATAAAGCCTCAAAATTAACACCAGTTCAGTAATATCAACAATTTGATTTTTTTTTTGGCTTAAAAATACTTTCTTGATATTCGCTGACAACTGATTAGTGCTTTGTAGCTGATAAAGCATTTTCACCAACATTATTTCGTATCATACACACAGTCCCCTTCTGAAGCCATTGTTATCATTCCCACCTAATAGATAAGTAAGAATAAGAGGCTAAGTGACCCAGCCAAGGTCACACAGCTAATCGGTAGCATGACTGGAATTTGAAGGCATACCTCCCAACTCCAAATTTCACACACTTTCTGTGACATTACATCCCATTTGGGCCAGCGCATTAGTTTTTCTATAATTATACCCCTAAGTATTTGCCTTATTTTTCCTTTCCAACCTTCCTATCCACCAAAAAATGAGGATTCTTTTCTCCAGCTTCAAAAAGTGATGATATGGATATGCTGGTTATCCACCTCAGTCTCTATTTGGTGTGGGAAAATGCTAGGCAACAGGTTTGGAGATTGCATTTAATTTACACTAGCATGATTGATGACATAGTGTTTCTTAACTGCATTATGCTTGATTCTTCCCTTCATTCCCCAGTAACAGAGTGAAAGAAGGCTTCCCTCTGCATACCCTTGGATTTCTTCCTCCTAGAGGGGAGAACCTGGTTTGCAGTGTTCCAGAGGCAGGTGAGAACAAATGCCCTTGAAGCCGAGCCAGGGCAGAATCTCAGACTCTAGCTGCCAGATCTGCCTCTCAAGGACCTTTCTCTCCTTTGCCACTGTCACTGCACCAGTCCAAGCCACCTTGGCTCTTGCTGGGAAACTGCAGCAGGCCCTCACCTCATCCCAGATGGTCACCTGCCCTCTGTTCTCTCTGCACTCAATAGCCAAAACCCATCAGTGATGCCTGCTGCCTTGAATGAAGTATGCAGAACTGTGCCACCCCCTCATGCTGGCCCCCTCTGACCTCGCTGCCTCATTTCATGCCATGCTCCCCTCCCCATCTCAAGTTTAAGCTATACCAGCTTTGTCTTCCTCAAACAAGCCTGAGCCCCACCTTAGGGCCTCTCACCCTGCTTTGTTCTTTGCCTGCAATGCTTCAACCCCCATTTCCACTCCCAGTTACCTGTTTATACCCCCTCATTCACACCTCAGCTTGAGGACCCAGCCTTGAACCCCAAAACTGGGTCCCCATAAATGCTTGCCTTGCACCCTGTACATTTCCTGAGTGCATGCTCAGCATCTTCACATAATAGATGCTCAACAAATTTTCCAGTGACTGAACCTTTAGTGTGTAACTGGAGAAAGTAATAAGACTCAGAGGACAACACTGAAGTCACACAGCTGGTCAGTATCAGGGCCAAGACACAAGCCTAGGTCTTTTAACTTTGGGCTCCTTCATGCAGGAGAGGTCCCCTTGTGCCTGCCATTGCCACAGAACACTACCTACAGGAGAGGAGTGGGACACTCCATCCTAACCTTCTCTTCGTGTCTGCTCCTCAAACTGCACGTGCCATCCATCCACCTGTTCATTTCTTTCGCTATGACCATTCACCTATTCGTCAGATACTGATTGAGCATAAATGTATGTGTGTTATTGTGCTATCCATAGGCATACAACAGTGAGCCCAACAGACAGGCTGCTGCCCTCCATGTGGTGAGGAGACTGACCAAATCTCATAAAACAGATCAAAGCATGTTGGACAGTAACTGGAGGGAAGGGCTGTGAGGAAACCAAGTGGCAGAGTGATGGAGGAAGCAGTGGATTGGCCCGTTCAGCACCAAGCCCCCCCATTCCTTCCTAATAGAACCTGAATTGCATTCAGTTGTCCACTGTCTCAAATATACCCTGGGCCTCAGGAGAGACTGCCTCAACCCCCAGCCTGTGGGGTGACCTGGTTGTCCCAAGGGTAACCCCAACCCCTTGCCAGTGATGAGCTCAGAAAGGAGCATGGGGCCATTTCATACTAATGAGTCAAAGGCAGTTCTGCTGGGGAGGTAGGGGCCTCTAGGGAAAGTGCCTTTGTCTTAAAGAGGAAACCACAGGTGGAGATGGTCTCTCTTCTTCCTCTGAATGTTGTCATGTCATGAGGGGATGGCTGGAACTGCTGCAGCCACTTGCTCCCAGCCTGAGGGTGGAGCGAACCCCATGCCCAGCTGAGCAGAGCGATGGAAGAACCAGGGCGCTGATGACCCCTGTGAGCTGCTGTACCTGCGAGCCCTGGAGCCCTCTGCCTTCCCATCCATGTGAGATCATGAGTCATTGTTTAATTTCCCTTGTCTTGTAGCTCACCCAAAGCACCAAATACAGATACATGGGCCATATCTACTCTCACTGCTCTAACCCTGACTCCTACCAGTGGAATGAATGGTATGTCTTAAGTCAGATTTCCCAGAAGCAGACCTGAGACAAGGCTCCATGTGCCAGTGTTGTGTTATGGAAATGCTCCCAGGGGGTCTCATAAGGGGGAAATGGAAGTAGGCAAGGAAGTTGGGGGTTGAGGAGCCAAGCACAGGAGCAAGGTTAAACAAAGCCTCCTCAACACACACCAGGGACAGCTTTCACCTGATCCCCTAGAGGGAGCTCTGGAGCATAAGCTGCTGCTCCTGAATTGGCCCATCTCAGATGGGCCTTCAAAACCCACTCCTCAGCTCTGCCTAAGGGCCACCCCATGGGCTTATAGAAACCCAGACCCCTTCAAGCTCTCAGCTCTTGCAGGAGCCCAAGAGAGGCACCTCCTGACCACTGGGGGCAAAGTGGAATGAAGCTAGCAGCAGGGTGCACACAAGCAATAGAAGGGATCAAAAAAGGGCAGGGTGTGGGCCAGCAGTGTGGGCCATCAAGTAGATAAATGAACAGCCCTGCATGTGCCCACAATTAGCTCTCAAACAAACAGCAAAGCCAAGACAGCCTTCTGGTCTGCAAGTGATTTCACCATATCCCTCCTGTTGCCAAAGGAGTCTTTTCCTACTGCCCACACAGTGTAGCCAACAGGAGCCCTGCAACTCTTATTAAAATGTAAATAAATATTTGCATTTCAAAATTATCATTGCACTTCAATATTCACCTTGAGGTTCTTTTTGCAAAACATTGAAAATCAGATCATAATTTGATGATGAAATATTGATTACACATCTATATTTCTATGCAGAAGTCTATACTATTTAGACAGAACAACCACCCTATAATATCTTCTATTTCAACTCAATATGAAGATGGATGGTCCCACCAGGCAAGTGTTGATAAAATACTTACATCAATACAAAAAGACATTAATGCCAATGCAAGTCAAAGCCTGTTTATTGGTTTGGGTCAAGCTGGCTCCAAGACGGGCTTCCAAACATCAGCAGCTCCAGCCAGTTTGCATATTTCTTCATTTACATCATGTGAGTGGGAAATGACAGGGGAACGTGGACTGGCAGATGGCTGCCCACGTCCGCTCCTGAATCAAGAAGGGGATGAAAATAAAGTAAACCCAACCTATAAAGAAATTCTGGGAGAAACTTTACTACTGTCATAGCAGTGTGCTTGTCCTCTCTCGATTTCAAAAAGAGTAAAATTAAAAGAGCAGAAGAAGTAAGAATCACCTCCATTCTTGTTAGGTGCTTACCATAACAGGAAGGAACTAGATCTCATCTTGACTGGGGTCATCTGCTCTGTTTGCCTGCCCGGCCCTTACTGCCACCTGAAAATCCATATATTTAATACTTCTTTAAATACTCATTGATTGGCTGCCTTCCTCACCAGAAAGTAAGATCCAAAGGGACAGAGGGTTTTTTTTCTTTGTTTTCTTGACTGCTATTTTTCCAATGTTGAATTAATTTCTTTCCACTTCATTCATTCATCTGAAAAATTGAGCAGCTACTATGTGATAGCACTCTACTGGGTTCTTGGGATACACCAGTGAACAAAACAGACATTCCTGTGGGCTACACGGCAATACAGGTGATAAGTAAGTACCAAGCAGAATAAATTTGAAGGTAATAATTGCTCTGGAGGTGAAGTCAGCAAAGCAAGAAGGCCGGGATGCTGGGAAGATGAATTCCTATTTTAAATCAGCCTCACTGAGAAGGTGAATTTGAACAAAGCTTTTGTAGGTTGGGGAGTGAGATTCTAGCTACAGACAGGAGGTAGGGTTTTCCTGGCACTTGGAAGAGTGCAAATATCCTATGACAGGAGTATGCCTCATTTATTTAGGAAACAGAAAAAAAAATGAGTGGCTGGAATGCAGTGAGTGGAATGTTTGGACAATTAAATGAATGATTCTGAGGCATCCAGGGGCCATCTTGCCCCCAAAAACCACCCCCTGGGGAGAGCCTGTATGAAAAATAAGCTAAGCAGGGACAAACAGAGTCCCCTGGATCTAGCCATGCCTGAAGCAACTTCTGCCCCACATCTTTTCAGTTCTTGAGCCAAAATATTCCCTTTTTTAAATCACTTGTAACTGTGTTCCTGACGAAACACTCTGAAACTCCAATGCTTAAGACACTTGTGTTGCTGTGCCCGTGATGAATCTCTAAGACAGGGGCTGCCTGGCTCTGGAACAGTGGGAAATCTATCCGGGGATGGGGGGCCGGGGGGCAAAGCCCAGATTCCATCTGTGCAAGGTAGTCCTGGAAAGCTGACAGGTGAGAAAGAAACTCAAATTTGCAATTTTCAAGTGTCAGAAGGATATTGTGCCACTCCTCTGACATTAAGCATCTTAGGCAGTCTCCCCATTTTCTATCAACACATCTACTGTGTGAGGTGTGGCCTTTGCACTTGCATGATCCGGAACCCACGACTGAGAGAGAGTACTCCAGGTGTTAGCTTTCCCAACAAGTCACATTCGAAGGACTAGACAGATCCTTCTTCTTCAGTTACCAAAGTTGCCGACACAACACTTTCAAAGGATTTTATTCAATTCAGCAGGCACTCTGAGCAGCTGCTCTCCAAGGTGCTGGGAAGGAAAAGGAACACATGATTTGGTCTGTCCCCTTAAAAGGCAGATTGTTGAGTGGGTGAGGGGCCCTTACGCATTTTATTCACATGTATTCATGTTGAAGGCAAGATACTGGGGACTGGGGTGGAAACTCCCAGAACAGGGAAGACAAACATTCACATGTGAGTACTTTATGTGTGACTATTCACCATTATTCATTCAGCAAATGTGAAGTAAATGTTTCCTGTGCAGTCAGCACTCTTTCAGGCATTAAGGATACAGCAGCCAGCAAGATGAGCAAGATCCCAGTTCACGTGGAGCAAATATAATAAAGTAAAACTGTAATAAAAATAAATAAATGTAAGTACAAATAAACATAAAAATGTAACAAAAATAAAAACTGTAATTTAAAAATGATTTCTGATATTGACAAGTACAACAAGGAAAATATATCCCAGTAGATAGGCACTGGGGAGCATCGAGCAGGGCAGAGAGGTCAGGGAAGGCTGACCTGAGACACAACTGATAGGAGAGGGCCAGCCTGCAGAGATGCAGGCACAGTATGCTCAAAGCAGAGGGGATGGTGTGTGCAAAGGCTTAAGCAGGAGTGGGCTGGGCACACCTGAAGATCAGAATCAAGGCTGTGTGGCCAGCGCTTAGTGAGTGCGGGGGAGAGATGGGAGGTGAGGTCAGGGTGAGTGGGGCCCACTCATGAGGACTGTGGGTTTTATTCTAAGTGCCAGCACCTTTATTTCAGGGCGATGTTGACATACTCCCACTTGGATAAATTAACACTCTCACCTTAGCAGATCATTTGGGTAGAAACAAGAAATACACCCAGCAATGCAAAAACAGGATGAAGAGATTTCTACAACTTCTTAAGATATGAACAATGGTACCTTTTATTTTTTAATGAAGAAAACCCGCAAATAAACACAGATCCAGTCAAAGAACAGTTCATCCAGAGCAAAGGGACTTGAGAAGGTGGAGGCTGGCCCACAAGGATGTGAGGACATTGACACCAGCCCAGAGCTGGGAGAGATGTGCCTGCTCTGGGGGGATGCAGCATAGGATGGGGTGTGGCTAGTTGGCCAGAAAGACCAGGGGTAGGGTTTGGAGTTGAGAGGGGAGGTGGGCTGGGGGTCGGAGGAGATTTAAAGTTGCAGGGCTGTTGTGTACCTCCCATGGCCCCATCAGCTTCTACTCTCCTTAGGAGCCTCAGTCCTGGGCCCAGGGTGGGGTGGGGGAGGGTCTTACCTTAGCCTCTGGGCTGTGGCAGCCATCAGGAAGGGTGAGGTCCCGGCTTACAGCAGACCACATGTCTCGTTTTCAGCAGCAGCTGCTGTATTTTTTGGCAGTTGGAAAAACATGAAAGAAGTTCATTTCTCTGTAGCAGCTACAGGATGAACAGGGGAAAGTAACTGAAAAGGTCAAACATGCCCTTCTCCCACTCAGCTCATAATCCAGGAGAGGCTGAGTACCGAAGCTTCAGGAAGGGGGTAAATCCTCTGGTGCTGAGATCCTACAGAGCTGGATTCTCGGGGGATGGCTCCTCCTGCCCCAGCTCCTGGACCAGCTTTCTGAACAGAGTGGGATAGGAGAAACTGTGCCTCTAGAGTTCTAGGGCAAGGCACTTTAGAAGGGCACTATAGGGCTGCGGTCAAGAGAATGGGCTCCGCACTAATAATGACATCAGCTCAAATTCAGTCTGGCTGTCATCCTAACTTGAGGGTGGCACCATTGGGGCTGAAACCAATAAGGTATTACAAAAGGAAGCCAGAAGTCTGAGGAAGGGGCTGTTTTCCTGTTCCAATGCTAGAGGGCTGACCCAAGTTTTTCACAGACTAAGGAATAGACTCTCAGCTGTCTTTGAGCCCCAAAGAAAGCAGGTAAGAAGTGAAACAGCTTAGCATCTCAGGTTCATCCCCTGCTAACAAGCACAAGTCTCAGGCAGAGCCCAAAGGTAAAGCTTCCAGCTTTGTCTGAGACAGAGTAGGGTCTTCATTCCGGAAAGAGCCTGAATACAACCTTTAGGAAGTTATACCTCAACAGCCATCATAGTTGGAAAACAATGTCATTAAAACTATCCAATGAACATCCTAACTAATTTTATGTCCACCAAGCATTCTTCCAGCCTCAATTAACTCCCCATTGCATGTGCAACTGAAAGATCGTGTGTTGACAGAATGGGGGCCAACTCACTTTTTCCTTTAGCAGGCATGTTTTTTGTTTTTAAACCAACCTTCCAGTTACACACTCATTCACACACACACTCAAAATGCCTCCTGCTACATTCACCATGAAGGGAATGGTGGAGATTAAGAATTCCATCCCACAGGGTGGACTGAACCAAACACCAGGGGATGCCTGTATGGTTCCAAAGCCCAAGATAAATGTTGCTTCTTCACAATAACCCTGTTTTCTTTTCTCTTCTCCTGTGCCCACCCCACCCCTCTTGGGACATCAGAGCTCAACAGAATAAGGTCAGAGCTGAAAGGACCCTGAGAGCCCATTGAAACCAATGACTCCTGCTCTGAGGTTAACAGAAGTAGCACTGCGTTCCGTGAATTCTTGGCAAAAATTCAGAAAACCTAAGGGAATCCACACATTAGCCGATAATGAGACCACACAGACTAACTAAAGCATCAGCCACCTCATTAAACTGATAGGCTTAATACTGTTTTTATTGCACAATCACTTCTAAATGTCTTTTATTAATAAAATTGGGGAAATGAATTTGTTATTCCTTAATAAGTGCAGTGTGTTTAGTTGACAAAATCTTTGCAAAGATAAGGATCAATGAGTGGTAAGAATTCTAAAAGGGTGTCCTTGTTCTGCTGTATTAGAAACCATGGGTCTGCCACCCCCCTACCCAAAGGAAGAGATGAGGGGAACAAAAACCCATAATTTCCTCAAGCTTCAAATTTCCCTTAGACTCGCTAACCCCCCTAGTTTATAGCAGCTAGAATCATGAGGGATAATCTCTCTAGACTGTGTTTGATTTTTTCTTTCAATTCACTCAAAGGTCAGTGAACAAAAGGTCTGGCCCTAGAAGTCACTATTACTCATAAGTATGAAATTATCAGTCCACCTGCTGCTCTTGATAGGGAGGGGACATAAAAGGGCCCATCTACTACACCAGTAGTTTCTCCACGTAATCTCCACAACAATCTCATGAAGAAAGTATAACTTTCCCATTCTGCAGATAATAAAGTTAACATCTGGTGAAGTTAAAAGACTTTCCAGGGGAACATACGTTTAGAACTAAAACCCAGTTCTGTTTAATGTTTAAGTCCAGGTTCATGAATCACACTACACCACTCTGTAAACGCCACTGGATTCAGAACCATGGACAGAGGCGGAGTCCCTAGTGTCTTCACTAGGAAAGGGTTGGAGGCAAAGAGAATGGGAAGATAGGTGCTGAGTTCCAGGGAGAGCTCTCCTTACAGAAATGCCTGAACTAATAGGAAGGGGGCTAGGGCCAGTGAGGGGCACATCACCATAATTGGTTCACATCAGATTCAAACTGATCTTTTGAGACCATTTTCTATTCCCACCAACTACTTAAGCTAGGACAAGCATTGTCATCTGTTAAATGCCATTCCCAGACTGCCACCCAGAGTTTTTGTGAGGCAAAGATGAATTGGTACATAGAAAAGCTATTTGAAGTTCATGAAAATTCACTGCTAAGGAAAAATTGTAACAGACCACCCCCAAATCCCAGTGGCTTAACATTTATTTCTCTCTTGTGTAAAGCCCCAAACAGGATTCCTGATTGTCACAAAGCATGCCTCCAAGAGTGATTCTGGTATCCATGATCCCTCGTCCTTGTGGCTCTGCCACCTTCCAACATAACTTCTAAGGTCCTTGTGTTTATCAGCTTCAAGCCGGAGGTGGAAAAATCTTTAAGAATACCCAAGGTGGTTTCTCTAAGCCAGGCCTGGAGGCAGCACAGCACCTCTCCTCATGTTCTACTGGCTATAACCTAGCTCATGGCCACACCTACCTACAAGCAGGGCTGGGAAGTATAATCTAGGTGTGGGTACCAGAGATATGGAAAAAATGAGCTTTGATGAACACAGAGCAGTCTCTTGCTCCTGTACAAAGTTGAGAAGTTGTCATAATCACCTGATTCTTAGCCCCATTTGAGATCTTGAGAGTGGGAATAAACTAAGGATGAACCGTGTAAAATATCAACTCCTGGGCTTGCCCTGAATGCATTTCACATGTAGATAATCTTAGATTCACTATCTGGGCATCTTGCATACTCCATGGTACAAAATCAGGGGAAATTATCACAAAGTAAATCTGTTAGGTCATTAGATTCTCCAGAATATAGAAAAACACATATATAATATATATATTTTTTATATATGTCATATATATTTACATTATATGTAATATATAGAGGTATGTCCATATTATATATGATATATCTGTATCTATATAGCATGAAGTCTCCACATACCTGGAGATTCTCACTCAGCTAACTAGGGAGGGCCAGGGAATGTGTTTTTAACACAGAGGAATTGGTCAGAACTCTTTGAGTTGCCAGTGAAAGAAATTCACTCACACGGTCTTCAGCAAGAAAGAAATGTTTTGGGTCTTTGTGTGACTGTGCTGGGGCGGAATGGCTTTTGGGCACTGGTGGATCCCGGCTCCAACAGCTCCCCCCCCCACCGGGCCACACCGGCTCTCCACCTCTCACCTGATCTCCTCACAGGGGGACCCGTTTCTCAGGCCATCTTCCCTCGGGGGTTAGGTAGACACCGGCGGCTCCAGGCATCCTTTCTTATCAGCAACCCTAAGAGAACTGCTCTCTCCATAAAAATCACATGATGTGTCCCTTGGGCACTGATTTTCCTGGCTTGGGTCCCGTGCGGATCCCTGAACCAATCACTGTGACCAAAAAGATTGTATCTTCCGATCATCCACATCTGGGCCATGAGCCGCCCCCCCTGAATCTGGGGTGAAGTCTGATCAGACACACATATAAGTGAGGTCTGATCCATACCACACAAATGTGTGGCTGGAGTGGCTCCCCCAGGACAACCAGGGTGCTAGTCCCAGAAGAAGTGACAGTCCCAGACAGGGAAGTGGCACTGAGCAAGCAGCAACAGGGTCCTCATACACTAGGCCGTGGGGCGCCCCAGAGGTGTGGGAGCCCTGGATCTGAGTCTGCCTGCAGGCTGTGGGAAGGAGCAATCCCTCAGAGCTGCAGAGGGGTCTCTGCTCACCAAGCTGCCTGGCACTCCTGCCCCGCCGTGGGCCTCTGTGGAGGGCACCAGCCCTGGAGCCCGTGAAACTGGCACGACCCCCGGCTCCTCCTGTCAGAAGTCCCAGAGTGTGCTCAGCTCCTTCACTCCTGCCCACCCAGTGTCCCTGCCCGCAGCAGGTTTGGCCCCTCTCCTGGGGCCTACTGCTTGGCTGCCAATAGCACCAAGGACTTTAGCTGATGGTGACTTAAGACAAACTCATGCATGAATCGTGTCCTGAAGCCTATCACAAAGGGCTCTTACATCTGGATTCACCGTTCTGTGTGCACATACATCACATGTGTGAGTGCTTCTCCTCTCTACCCAGGAAAAACACCCACAGCTTTCATCAGGTTACCAAGGGAACCTGTCCTAAAAAAGATGAAGAACAATTGTGCTTCTCTGGACATACGCTTCAAGTATTTAATGATGAAATTTCATGTATCATAATACACATTCTGGAGAAAGCTATATGGACCAATTTGAAATTATATTCTTAGATCAAAGTTTTCCAAAATGGATTCCTTGGAAGATGGATTGATATGATCTGATGTCCAAACTAAAATATTTTCATATTCAAAAAAGTTGGGGAAATGCTGAGTTAAACAAGATTGAACAGGCTTCTTTTCTGCAGTACTTCTCAGAGCCTGTAGTACTCAAATGTGTTTCATGACTCCCCAGGAGAAGTGACTGGTAGGCAATGTTTCCCATGCTTGCCTAACACAAGCAGTGTCTTGTAGGGGGGTTTGCTTTGTTTGCAGCATCATATTAAACATTTCCTTGAAGGTGGACTCATGGATTATCCATTTGGGAACTCCCTTGTCCTCAGAGGATGTATATTTGTGGTGGTGACTTTGTGCTACTGTGAAGAGGCAGCAAGCATCTAAAAGATTTTAAAAGGGAGTGGCATTTAAGGAGAAACATTCTCTTTTTTTTTTTGCCTGAATTAGGACAAATGAGATGTCAGTATGTTTGCAAGGTCCCCCTGCATCTCTGTGAGCTGTGGAGTGTCCAGTGGAAAAAGCAAGGGGCTGGAGTCAGCACGCCTTGGGTAGACATGTGACTGCCACTAACTGGCTGTGTAATTCGGGCAAGGACTTAACTCCTCTTAGTCTCAACCTGTTACATGGACAAGAGTTTGATGTGAGGATCAAATGAGATCATGTAGAGAATGAGCAGTATGTGGCATTCAGATCCCACCCTTTGCAGCCAAGGCAGTATTCTGTCTGGGTTTGGGGTCTGCAGAGCTTCACCCTTTGCTCTGGAAGCTCCAGGAAATAATCCCACTGTTCTTACCAACCTTTACTTCTTGCCTCAACCATCTCCCACCTGCTCCTGACAGCTCCCCATTCTCTCCTCCTCAGGCTGCCCTGCTGATGCTCCAGATACCTCCAAACACCGCTGACCCTCTTCCATGTCCTCTTGTGGAGGCTGGGATGATGGCACTTGGGCCATGACTTCTGAGGCTGGCTGACTATTACTTGCTTCAGCATTGACCTGGCACCACCTTGGGCCAATAAACCACAAGGAAATAAATGCTCAGGCCCCACTATTTGCTGACACCCACAGACTGTCTTTCAGGTCACGCTTTGTGATATGTCACCATGAGCGAACAAATCCACACCAAGTCTGTTCTATCAGAGCTTGTTTCTATCTGCATCTGTCATCACTGATTGCATTTGAATGGGTTTAGTCTCTATTTTAAATAAAAGATTTATGCCTTAGCTGTCAGAGCCTGCCTTTATTTGAAAATCTAATCTTGTTTCTAGGAGTCCAGATTAATTTATTAGATTTAGGCATCCCTCATGAGTTTCTGAGAGAAAAAGAGTGGATTCTCCTCTCTGCAGACAGCCCTGCACGAGCCACACAGAGGAAGCCAAGAGCTGGACGGGCTTCACCATCCAGCGAACCAAGGCAGGACAGAAGCCACCTCTTGGACAGCTTTGCTTGATCACCTGTGTCCAGGGAGTGTCTTCTGGATTCCCAGGTCTCTGGGCTTCCAGGCCGTTAGCTGGGGATCCTGGTTTCCTGCAGGGGCTCTACCAAGCTTGTCCTTTCCCCCAAGTTTTGTGGAGGCTCCAGAATCCTGAAGACACCTCAGTGGGAAACTGACTGGTCTACTTGAGCTGAGGAGCTCTGAGTCTCCTTCATATCGGTACTGCATCTCTGCCCCCCTCAGAGCACTCTCCCTACTAGCGTAGCCATGGGGTCAGAAGACATGAGCTGAGTTCCAGCTGTGTGACCTTGGGCAGGCCACTTACATTCCTTGACCTTCAGTCTCTTCATCTGAAAGGTGGAGATAATGTTAATGCCTATCTCATAGAATTCCTGAGTTACTGAGCATATGGGGGAGAAGCTCTTGAGAGCTGCCTTCTATGAGTTTGTCATCACTTCAGTGGGTACGAGGGGTGGGGGAGGACGGGGTGTGCTACTACCTCCTTTGGAGGGGAGGGTGTGGCTGCTCACAGGGACAAGTGACCTGCTCGGGGTCACAGTAAAGTGAACGGCAAAGCTGGCCCAGCACCAGGAATCCCGATCTCCACCCAGTGCCACAGGCCCTTCCTGCCTCCACCAGCCCCACCCCTGTCCTTGTCTCTGTCATTCTCTCCCTCTCCCCTTCTCTCTCTCTGCAACTGACTGAAGCTCTGAACTGCCACCCTAAAATTCCTATGTTGAAGCCCTAACCCCTCAATGTGACTGAATTTGGAGATAGATATTATTTAGATTTAAAGAGCTAATTAAGGTTAAATGAAGTCCTAAAGCTAAGGTCCCAGTCCTACAGGGTTGCCTTATATGAAAAGGGAGACCACGCTCTCCCTCTCCCCACCCCTCCACCGCACACATGCACACACTACGGAAAGGCCAGGAGCACACACTGATGGCAGTAGCCTACAAGCCAAGAGAGGAGGCCTCAGAATGAAACTTACCTTGCTGTCATGCCTGTATGCCCACCTTGCTTGGACTCGCAGCCTCCAGAGCTGTAAGAAGGAAGTTTCTGCTGTTCAAGCCACCAGTCTGTGGTATTTTGTTACGGCAGCCAGAGAAGACTAATATAGTGTCTGTGTCTCTGTCTCCGTCTCTCTCCTCTCCCTCGCTCCCCTCTTCCTCCCCTGCCATCTGACTTTCCCGTAGCATCCCCGCCATCTGCTGGTCAGTCTCAGGATAGCAGGCAAGGTCCTGGCCTCGGAGAGGTTCTGCCTCCTCTGGGGCAGCCAGAGCCAGAGCTGCTCCCTCTCAGTCACAGACACACACACAGACACACACACACACACACACACACACATTCTCTCTCTCTCTCTCTCTCTCTCTCTCTCTCTCTCTCTCTCTCTC